TACAGAGAGGAAGATGGGATGGATGGAGAAGAATGCCGTAAGGAAAGACGATAATGAAGATAAAAACACAAAGGACTGCAAGCCGCGACACCCGAATTACAGATCGTGCAAAGTAAAAGTTCTGGTGTGCCGAAGTGCTGCCTCTGATCACTGGGATGAAGACACGGTCGTGAGAAGAGGGCACGATGAGACTGTCATGGCTCTGGAAATCACGTGTCACTCAATCAAAGGACATGGTTATCATGGGGGAAGTGGTGTGAAGAGTTTATTGTAATTTGTCTACAGTATCAGAATGTTTTCAATCATACTGATTGCCATTTCTATGGTTTTTGCTCCAAGTTATTGACGTGTAGACTTTATGGTGCTATGGGCTTCATTTATGGGAAAGTTTGTCAAGTGCAAGGAATGTTGAAACTATCAACTGAATTCTGTGCATTATATCACAGGTTGACATTAAAAAATCTAGCGGACTTCGGACCTGTGGAGTACCGAATTTTCGAAAATGAAGGATTTTTTATGGTTATACATGTATATATTTAACAGAAAATAAATACGTGCACAGTCCTTTAAAGAAAGAAACTCAAACACTAAATGAAAAGCAAATGAAATGTTAATACTCACCACCTAGTTAATATAGATGAATACATTTTTTAGCACTTCCACGTTCTATGCACTCGACAACACACGATGTTTATATTATACACTCAGAAACAGTTACAAGCAATGGATTAAATTTATAAATATGTTTTGAAATAAATAACGGAAATCTGAAGGAACCGGATTATCGATGGCTGTAATTTTGAATGTCAACCTGTAATAGCAATGGTACCATACTGAAAGTGACTATCATGCTGTTTATCATAAGATGCGATACAAACGATGGTGACTTATATGCTGATTATTTAGCCAAGATACGAGTTAATTCTGATAATCATTGCTCGTAGTCTTAGTCCAATACATATGTTTAAATACCAAATCCTAGTCACTATGCATGATCTATATTAAAGGTGATGTTGCCTGGCGATCATAAGTACAGGGCTGGAACTTTTCGTGACTGGGAAGATGAGGTGCAATGTATATTTTACAGAATCAAAATGAGTTTTACATAAACGTATTTTTGCGAAATGAGGATTAAATACAAAATTTAATTGATGGTTTTTTTGACTTCCTTTGTGAAATATTCATTCTTTAAGCAGTTGAATATTAAAAGAAACATCAACGTATTTTAATAAACACTAAGATATGTTGAGAGTAACTACGTGACTCATGCCAGTTATATATAATTTTGCTCTGTACCTCCCAGTCTACTGTGCTGGGAACTCATAAACATAAGCACAAATTACACCACTGTAAAAAAAAGTATTAGCCTTAAGAAATCATGATGTATTAAGTCTAGTAAACATAAATCATAAACAACATCGAATTCGTGAGTAAACTACTACATGTTAATTAAGTGTTTGCTATCTTGCACAAAAAGTTTAGAAGTGGTTCCCAGTTATAGAGCTTTACGAAGCTTTTAGAAAACATTTCCCAGGCGTTCGTCAGTGTCCATATAAAGAATATACTCGGATTTCATGCAGTCACAGAATTTTGAATTGAGAAAAAGAAAGAAAGAAAGAAAGAAAGAAAATGCGAGGGATCATACCGTAAAATAACCAGTCCCTTTCCTCTCCGACTTTTGACTCGCCTGTGAGGGGCCTGAATATATATGAATCATAAATGGAACAACTGATGTCTGGGAATCCGGGTGTTTCGGAGGTTTGAGAAAGGGGTCACAAGTGCAAAAAGGGTGCTCGCCACTGGGTTAGAGCAGATGATCTCAAACTGGAGGTCCGAGAGGGGTCGCTAAATCCTGCAACCCCTCCTCCTTCTCCTCCTCTTCCACCCACAACCCATCCTAACGCGTCTAGTACTTGCCAGCGTTAGTCGACATGCCCGACATTCGATAATGCTCCATAAAGTCACGTTATGGTATAATGCTGTCTTATGTATTCATGTTTTCTTTGCTGCATAAAGTTGTCCACATTAATAATCTTGTAATGTTGATGATAGTTATTACTTCGTAATGTGTCCTCACTTAAGAACGATTTATTTTTTAGTTATTCTTGTAGTTACACGAAAGTAGGAATATGATATATTGACTGTCAGAAAGGCTTTCTTACTGTAGGAATGGGCCGAAAATATATCGAAGTAATTTGTAGGGGTCGCGGCTAAAATAAAGTTTTGAGAACCTCTGGGTTAGAGGACTGCGTGCGAGAACCAATGCCATTGTTTGAAAGTCCAAAAATGCACTTTTAATGTGAAGACGCTTCTCCTTTCAGGGTTTCAGTACATCATTTTTATTGCATTTTGCTTGCACTAAAACTATACACTTCATTAAAATAATATCAGGGCTGTATATGAATAGAAGAGGATACTGATTTGATTGTTTTGCATAATTTTGTTTCATATTGTATTCTTATTGTATCTTTCACAGTTATCATTCCACTGCAACTCATAG